GCCCCCGGCCGCGGCAGCGTCCCCGCCGCCTTTCCTGCCGGCTTCTGCTTCAGCTGAAAGGAGGCTTTAGCCGCAGCCCTGCGGGCGTAAGGCGGTGCACAGCCAGCCCGTGCCTGCTCTGTAGCTGCTGCGGGGTTTTTTTCAGCCGGTGAGCTGTGAAACCCGCCCGAATACGCCGGGAGGTGAACGCGTTGTTTTGCGATGTGGGCTGAGGATTTGTCGGGCGTTTTAAGTGCCTTTTATTCAGTCCGTTCTGGTAACGCAGACGCTGTCCATGAGTTGTAGGTATCCAAAATGAGAGGTGTGTTATCTGCTTTTCGGGTGCCTTTAGTTTACCCCAGTATTTCAGACCTGGTGATGAATTTGTTCAGCGTTTGTCTACCGACATTTGGCCAGCGTAGTCGTTCTTTTTATACAGCTTTCTAAGCATGAGGCCTGTATTTGTTAACAAAATTGCCATCTTGCTCTAAAAAAGAGGATACAGTTTTGATACACAGAAAACTTACATCAAAAAGAATCATAAAAATGAACCTGAGCAATATGTTAATTTGAAGTGGGGGTGGGATATATTTTCATATTATTTATTTATTTATTTATGTACCCAAACCCCTGCAATTAGGAAGTTATTTGTGTTTGATTTGTGCCTATTTGTTTATTATCATTATCTAGTATGATGACATGAATTTTACATTAGGGGCTCTTCGTACTTCAGCTAGATTTTTGGGCCTTTAGGTGCTAAGCTGCAGATGTATTAAGAAGATAGACCTTTATAACGACTGCCTTTCCTCTCATCTCATTTCATAATCTATTATCTGCCTCTGTGGGAAGGAAGAATATCAGAATAGTAAGAATGTGTCCTACTGCAGGTAGGAAACGATGAGTGAAAGTTGTCTGAACAGATGTTTCTGACTGTTAGCTGAAGAACGCTGAAAGCACGAATGAGGAAAATAGTGAAAACAAATTAAGGGTAGAACAAATCCTAAAAATAAATGGTTATATTTGCTGTGAATGGAAGGCCCGGGCAAGTCCCTGTTGCAGGCAATGGAAGCTTGTCTGTTAGCTTTTCTACAAGCAAGTCCTTAAAATGTTACTGTGCATATGTAAAACCCATTTCTGTATCGAACAGCTGTAGGAAGGCACTGTACTGATGGCTCAAGACACTGAAAATCTTACTCAGTGCGAGGTGATTCTGCAGTCTTGGTTCCTGGCATTCCCTTACGTTATAGCTATGCTAATAGTTATCTCTCTAATATAATAAAGCAGTTTAGAAGGCATGATTTGAAGGTACAAGTGATGCAAAAATCCTTTAAAATTTCTTACATAAATGTAGAAAATCCAGAACATTCAACATGAGTCGGTATTGAAATACTTCATCTCTCCAGTTACTCCTAAATACACTGTCAAGTCAGTGTACCTCTGGTTACCTAGCAGAATTGATATCTTTGATTTGTTTGCTCAAAAAACCTCAGCTTAGAATCAGTCACCAGAAGAGTGTTGGGTTTTTTTTTTGGTTTTGTTTTTACCGAATTTGTTTTTGATAATTTGGAATTTAATGTTAAATGATTTCCAATGCCAGCAATGTAAAAATAGGTAAGGGAAAGCTATGTGAACATAGGAATATTCTCACTGTATCATGTGGTAGTCTCTGGTAGCACATTTCCTGACTCCATCCAGTTTTGTCCTGAGAGAAATCTGACAAGCAGCTGCCCTACTCTTTAAAGGTATTAATCTCAGAATAATGACACTTTCCTTGATTTACAAACCCAGCCACATGGAAAATCAAGATAAATCCCATGTAGAAAATGAATAAACTTAATAATATCTGAAAACAAAATTCCTGCCCCAAGTAAAAGCTTTTCCTTCAAAAGGCAGTAAAAAAGGTCTATATTACATGATGTCCATTAGGAGTTGGCAATTGTTTTTTATTTTGATTGAAATATAACTGTAGTTAGTGATGGCTCATAAATATTAAAATAAATCTGATATAACTGTCATAAAAAAGCAGAAAGAAATTACATATCAGTTGGACCAGTAGTTCATTTAGGTCAGTACTCTGTGTCTGACAGTGGCAGAAGGAGAGCATGTAAACCTGGCCACATTCTGCACCTTCTCAGCATCCACAGTTGTATTAGGGTCCAACCCTTCCTATTTTGATTAGTGTCTATGGATCTCTCTGTGTGAGTTTGCCAAAGCTCCTTCTAAACATGCTGACACCCTCTGCCTCCACAGCCAGCATGGAAGCAAGTTCCAGAAGATCATGGCTGTACAAAAAAATTACTTTCTTCTACCTGTTAAAAAGTTCTTAGTAGTTTCATTCCATACGCCCTGCTTCTAGCTTCAAGGATTTGGTGAATAACAGTTCCATGTTCACCTTATCCATGCCTTCACTGTAAATCTTGATCACAACCCGCCAGATTCTGATAATTTCAGAGAAGTGTCAACAATGACCCCAAGACCTCTTTCCTGTGTGGTAACTATCAGTTCTGAGTCCATGGTTGTGTAGATATGGTTTAGGTTGTTTTTCCTGTAGGTACACCACTTTGTGTCTATCTGTGTTGAAGCTCTTCTGTGTCTCTTTTGCCCACACGCTCTGTTTTGCAAGGCTCTTCTGGAGGTTTTGTGCCACAGATAAAGCATTTGGCTATCTAAGACAGCTTATGATCATCCACAGACTTGCAGATTTCACTGTTTATTCTATTCTTCAGGTCACTGAGAAAGTTGAATAAAACCAGTCCCAGCACCGGACTTTGTAGAACTTCACTGTTGAGTTGTCTCCATCCTGAAAAGAGGCAATTAAGCCCTAATCTTTACTTCCTGTCCTTTAACCAGCTTTGTCTGTAAATGGACCTTTCCTCCAATACCATGGCAACTTAGTTTTTCTATTAACCTTCCATTGTCAAAAGCTTTTTTGGAACTCTAAATATATTATGTCCTCTGGGTCACCTTTACCCATGTGCTTTGTGGCAGCATCACAGGACTTTGGCAGGATTCCCCACTGTAAAAGCCATTCTGGTTCTTTCCCAACAGACTGTGTGTATCCACCTGCTCAACAGTCCTGTTCTTTCACGTGCTGTTGATATAGCTACATAATTTTGCTAATGATACATTGCCTACTCTTTCACCAAAAGACATGATACCTTCAAGTTTGGTTCTGAAGAATTTAACTGCTGTCTCTCCTTAGCAAGTAAAAGTAGCAAGTCAATAGCAGAAATAGAAACCAGGCCTCTTGACAGTTAGACACAACTGCTTTTCTTCTTTTTTTTTTTGAAATGGTATTCCCTATGGACCTTTCCTGGACCTTCTGGATAGCCAAGTCCCTAACACGCTATTTTATGTACTGAACGCTATTGCTCTATCGTTATACTATTGGTAGAACACAGAGTGCGTGCATGATGTGTGCATATACATACATACATATGCAGTAATGATGTTTTCACAAAGTAAATGTCATCCTATGTGTGAAGGCTGTAATTTGAGTACATTTAAGAGTTGCTAAGAGTCACTCCTTGCTAAACAGAATTATATATAACTCCAGTAATCTTTTAAAACTTAAAAATTAGTAAAACCACTGCTGCCATGAGTATGGATTGAGCAGCAAGATAGTTTAGGATAACTGCCAAAACCCTAAATGTGACAAACTGCTCATAACAGTTATAAAAAATGAATAAGCAATACTTCTGCACAGACTAGAAGCACATCTTGTTAATGTGTATAGAGATATGTCTGGCCATGGACAGGTTGACAGATAAAGAGCTCTGAAGATATGTTTACTTCACAGGGGGACTTCATGCACTGTTGCTAATCGGGTGCTTTATTTTATTTACCACTGTTCTGTGTCATTTGTCTTTGTATATTGGCAGCAGGCCTACTGAATGGCCTTCTTATAATAAAGAATACATCAGATTTATCCCTGGTGTAACAGCTGTCTTCAGTGGAGTTAGCCCAGAAATTCATTTGGCTCAGTATCTCTTGTTAACACAATACTTGGGATGACTTGAGTTGCTCGAGTGCTTTCATTTTTGTGATGTTATGGTGAGGTATTTCCTTTCAATGATCCCTTTCTCAGGCAGAATTTAAGATACGCTGCCATTTCTCATGATAATGACAAATCTTTCTACCAGATGTACTGCTTTCCAAAACAAATTTCCAGCATGTATAAATGAGTGTTGTTTCCTTTTGTTTTCAGTCTATTTTCCTTTCCATAGTTCTTCCTTTTCATTAAAAAAGCTTTATAATACAAGTAAATTTTTCCAATGTCTCCGTCAGGAAACCCGTATCATTTACATCCACTTTATATATGACACGTGTAAATGGCAAAAAATTTGTCCAGGTGCTCATCTAGGTCAATGGCAAAATTGAACCCAGCAAGCCTAATCTTCACTCTCCAACTACATCTGCTGGGTTGCTGGATCTCCGCCTATTTTTAAGCTAAGCTGGCATTTCTACCATTGCTCTTTGTGTGCCTTCCATTGAGATAGGAGGTGATATTATAGTTAAGTTCTCCTTATTCAGGCTACCGTTCTTTTTTGAAAATTTCTATTTCACTTCAGTGATGTAGGAAGGTGGCAGCAGTCCTGAGGCAGTATCAGGAACCACCTGGGGATGTGGGCTGGTTGTTTCCCCTACAAGCCAGGGAATGGAGTGCCACAGGCACTTCGCCATAACGGTCCTAGCTCTTAGCTAAACTTTTATTTAGTTTGCTGCTTAGGAAAGGCAGAGGAGGTGAGGCCGGCATGGCCCTTGCCTTTTATTGGTGTTTTGGGTCATCAGCTTACAGTAGACACTTTACTGCAACCTCTTCTGAGTGCCAAGTTGATTTTCTGCTTTTCAAGTGTTGTGTAAAGGTGGACAGTATTCACTTTTCTGTTCTTTCTTCTAAGTATACAGCTTAGAGCAGTGCACCTTACAGCTCAGCTGGTGCTTTCTGATTCCATAACTGTTTTCTAACTTTACATCACGGTTAGGAAATGTTTAACCTATTCTGGGGCCAGACACATTTAATTACTTCAAATATGTTATTCTACTTGACTGCTTATACTCAAAGTGATGCATTAAAACATCTACACTAATTTTGGATACTTTTAACTCTGATTTTGTGCATTACAGATTTTTTTCTTGTTAATAAACCTTCCCGATTTAGAATGCAATTTAGTTTTCTTTGGGTTCCATTTATGCCATCTTTGTGCTGTGGAACTTTGAGCACAAATGATAAATTTAATGCAAATGAGCTTTATAACACCCTATGCTGAAAAGCGTTCTGTGGTTTGGCATTCAAGACTGGAGGTGGATAAAATTAAAATAGGAACTGCAGTGGATATCTAGGTGATGTGGGCTTGGATTTCTGTTGGACTCCATCTTCTTTCCATTCTTCAGCTCTTAAAATTTTATTTTTCCTTACCAGGAACTTTTCAATTCAATAATTTTAAATTGACATGTTCTTATTTACCATACCAAAATGAGTCACAGAAGACTATTGTGGCTGAAGTTCTGTGAAAGCATCAGCAGGGTTCTGATGAAAATTTGCCTGTTTTCCTGGCTGCCTACCAAGGAGATTACTGGGGATCTGAGAACTGTCCTTCCTTCAAGTCAGCGGTGAAATTGGAGACTTTGGGGTTTCTGAGCTCCACAGTCCTAGGTCAGTTCTGCAAACTGGAGATGTAACCATAGCTAGCTCTTGGTTCCTGGGTCCACAGTCAACGTCCTGCAGCTCTCACAGCCCACACCAAACTAGCACATCTCAAAGTTCTGGGACACTTGCATTTGGCTGTGGATTTGAGAACTTTGGTTCACCCTGTGAAACCAGGAACCTGGAAACTCAGGTAATAAGGCTTATTCACTGTTAGGACACTAATTTGGTCTCCATCTGGTAGAGCTGAAGCTTCTCCCTCCCCCACCGCAAAACTCCCCTTTCTAGAGCTTGGAGTTGCAAGTCTCACTTCTGAGCTTCAGGGTGCTCACGGTTTTCAGGGTACCAACTCTCTGGGAGGGCTGTCAAAGGGATGGGAGTCTATCAAAGTAGGGGTGAGCAGATGAAATTTCAAGTTGTGAAATGTTGCATTGAAGTTTTCAAAATGAAGTGTTGCTATTATTAAACAGTGAAAAATTCTTCGTCCAAAGTGAAAAACTTTGGAAGGTGTAATCTTTCATACTGGAACAGAAGACATTTTCATCCATAGTTACTATATTTTCCATTAGTTGCACCTATCTTTTACTTTGCTGGAATTTTAATGTGAATAAATAAAATATTTCATTCATTGTGATTGCCCTGGAAATGCCTCCAATAT